TCGAAAGTTTTCCGGATAAGTTTCTAGGATCTAAGGAATATCGCTAGAGATCCCATCTAGGGTTTTCCGTGAGCCAATCCCGATAGCCAAGATTTCATTGGTACGACGGTTGAGCACAGATCCCGTTTTCGCACAGACATATTATAGGTTGGTTGGGGTTAGATTTTTGATGGGGTTGGGGTGCAGGGGGAGGAGCGGAGCCCCTCTTCCGCCCACATATGTACCACAGTGCGCAATATAAACAAAATAGTTACAGTTCTTAGGAACTGGCAAATCGGAAAGGGACGGGTTCGGCTGCGATAGAAAGGTCTCACGGCGGGTTACCTTCCTCTAAAGTTACAGTTTCCCACCCCCTTCCAGTTCGTAAGAACCTGGGAGAAACTGGTAAAAACTCTTCTGTCTAAAGCTTTTTTTTTCTATATTCTCATCTTTAATTCTACCTTCTAAACTAGTTGAGATAGCAAGGATCTGTAGCAAATTTTTACATTTCTTTAAATTCTAGGGACTTATCCAGAAAACCCTAGATAGGTTTTTTAGCGAATCTCGACAATTCGATAAATCCTAAAGACTTATTTACAAAACCCTAAATGGGATCTGACCTAAATTTTCACAATTACTTACACCTTAGGGACTTATTCAGAAAACCCTAGAAGAGTTCTGCAGCAAATCTCCACATTTCATTAGTTCTTAGGGACTTATCCAGAACACCCTAGATGGCATTTTTAGCGAATCTCGACAATTCGATAAATCCTAAAGACTTATTTAAAAAACCCTAGATGGGATCTGACCTAAATTTTCACAATTACCTACACCTTAGGGACTTATTCAGATAACCCTAGAAGAGTTCTGCAGCAAATCTCCACATTTCCTTAGATCCTAGGGACTTATCCAGAAAACTTTAGATGTGATCTATTGCACATTTGACATTTTAAGCAATTCCAAGATTTTTTTTAAATTCTTAAATCCTAGGCGTTTTTTCAGAAAACCCTAGATGAAAAATCTTATCTTGTTGATATCTACTTTTGTTTCAACCATTTCTCAAAATTCTCAATTTTAATACTAACTTCTAAATTAATCGAGATAGGAGGTCCGGCTATAGGACCTTTTCGTCTCGTCTGGTCAAGATGTACATCGTCTGTCTGAAGCTTTTTTTTATATTCTCATCTTTAATTCTCACTTTTAAACTAGTTGAGATAGCAAGAATCTGTAGCAAATTTCCACATTTTGTTAAATCCTAGGGATTTATCCAAAAAACCCTAGATGGGATCTGTAGCGAATTCTGACAATTCCATAAATCCTACAGACTTATTTAAAAAAAAACTTTAGATAGGATCTGACCTAAATCTTCACAATTATTTACATCCTAGAGACTTATCCAGAAAACCCTAGAAGAGATCTGCAGCAAATTTTTACATTTCCTTAGATCCTAGGGACTTATCCAGAAAACCCTACGAGAGATTTGCAGCAAATCTCCACATTTCCTTAGTTTCTAGGGACTTAATCAAAAAACCCTAGATGAGTTCTATTGCACATTTGACAATTTAAGCAATTCCAAAATTTTTTCTAGATTTCTAGATCCTAGGCGTTTTTCCAGAAAACCCTAGATTACAAATCTTATCTTGTCGATATCTACAACTTTTGTCTTAACCATTTCTCAAAATTCTCACCTTTAATTTTAACTTCTAAATTAATCCAGATAGAGGGTCCGGCTATAGGACCTTTTCGTCTCGTCTTGTCAAGATGTACAACTGTTGTCTGAAGCTTTTTTTAATATTTTCAACTTTAATTCTAACTTCTAAACTACTTGAAATAGAGG